TAAAATCATATTATATCGACAAGGATAAAGAATAAAGCCATACATAAAAAAATCAAGATGTATTTCGCTGCATTGTGCGAATACCTGTCTAATACTCTATAATATTCCAACAACTTCTTTATCTTATTCTCTGAAATAGAGAATCATGGAAAAAATTGTCAATATAGAGGATTCTCTAAAACTCAAAATATTATCGAAAAATAATTTTTTTTATTAATCTGGATATCCAACCCGCTATGTGAGCCGACTAATTCCAGGACAACTACCTACTTTGCAGATAGCTCGGAGTCACCGCATTTGAACCTCTGTGGCCACAAAGGGATTTTTATTCCTTATTGAATTTGAACTTGGGACCTCCTGGTACTTTTGACCTTTGGAGCCAAAGCTCAAACCAACCAGACACCACCCTTGTGGATTCATTCTACCAGCGAGGAGTTGAATTAATATCATTTTATATAAATTTTTTAGAAGTTTGGTATCATAAAATTATAGAATATTAAATAATATTATTAATGATGAAATATTTAAAATATAAAATCTGTTGAAGTTGATTGTAATTTATTTTAGAGATTTCGACTTTGTCTTATTTGGTTTAGAGAAATTATAAAAAATCTGTTAGAGATCCTTCGGAAACCTCACCACTTTTAAATTCTTAAACAAGAACATTAATACTTTGAGCCTAACCCCAAACTTAATTGAAGTTCTAACCAATCAGATTGAAGACGTGACAATCGAGAAACCAAAAAAATCTCTTTGTCTTCCTTCCTTCTACTTCGCATCGCACGTATCCGATAAATCTGCTCAAGTGGATGCCGACCTTCCAATTTCTAGCAACAATTTTCAATCACAATGGAAAATCCCATGGATTTTCTTGCAATGGTAATCCTTAATTTATAGTTCTTTATATCTTTCGAGTTCGATTCAATGTTGACGGATTGGCGTAACTTTTCTCCAATCTCCAATGTCTGAATTCTCAAATCTCACTTCTTGGTTCTAAATTTCTGTTATGATATTGTGATTTCAACATCAGATTTCATGTTCAATTGCTCTTTACTACAAGAAATCGAGAAATCGAAATCGAGATTCTTGTCCGGAAGGTAAGCTTTTAAGCATAGACCTTGAGTTTCAAACTTCAATTCTTGAATATAATATAAAAGAAAATGATGTATGTTTTTGTCAATTTGTGCGTTTGGCTATTGTATCTGGGCCGTTTACAACTACTAAAAAAATAAGCCCATAAAATTAATAAATCCACTGGCTTCCAAAACATTACTTTTTTGTCTTCTAAAGTCGGTTTACCAAACAGATCCATCCATTCATTTCCAGTACCAGGTGTATACTCCAATAAAATTGCAAAAAGAGACCAAAGGGCCTTTGGCCTAGCGGTATCGTAGCCCTTGGCCTTCTATAAGGTTAGGGGTTCAAACCTCACCATACGTGAAGAGGATGTGTGAGTTTATTTGTTGCATTTGTCGTATATAAATATTATATACTTCAAAAAAATTGCAAAAAGAGTTTCAATTTTGACTGACAACTAAGGTACTCAGTCTGTCATTCAATCAAAATCAAGGTTGAACTGTGAACATAAAGTTTTGATTAAAAGTTCTAGGACAGAGTTGAACTGTGGGTTGTTACTTGTTAGCATGCAATACTTTTGTTTATATGTATTGGCTACTGTGTACATGAATTTATGATGTGTCTTTGGCTACTGTCAAAATGTCAATGGTTTTGTCAACAAATTGGCTACTGTGTATATGATCTATGTTTTTTTAATGTTTTTATCATTAATTGTTTTTTATACTCCTAATCCTTCATTCAAAGAAGTTGTTTTGCATGAAGTATCATTATTTATTGTATGCAATTTTACTTCTAATGATTAAAAAAAAACATTTGTTTGAGATTTGTCTGTGACTCCATTCATATGAAGGGTCAATTTTCTATCGTTCGCTTAATACCTAAATGTTACAAACGAACTGATGTTAATTATTGATGTAGGAAGAAAATATGAACCCAAAAAAGAGGTTACAATTTATGTTAATTATTATGTACTTTTTTATATGAATACTTTTGATTTGATTAGTTGAAAATAAGGGGCTGTTTGGGATTGCTTATAAAAACAACTTGTTGAGTTATTCTGGTGTGACACTGGTAATAAGAACTTTTGAGGTGTTTGGATAAACAACTTATACCGTGTCAAATCGGTAATAAGGAGTTTTTGAATAAGTTAAACTTTTCTGACCTATAATAAGTTGATAAGACAAAAGTACGGGATCATGTAGTCGGAACATATGACTTTTGCGTGGGTTGGGTTAGAATGTGTGTTGGGTTAGAATGACTTTTGAACATTGTGTTTGGATATGATTTTACCTTTTGAATGATGTTTTGCTTTTGAACATATGACTTTTGGATGACATAACTATTGAACATGATTTTGAATGATATAACTTTTGAATGAATGTTGAGTAATTATTTTTATTTGCATGGTTTTTTATGGATGCAACTTTTCAGTCATGTTTTGTAATTATTTTTATTTGCAAGGTTCTCTATGGATGTTGAAGAAGAATTGTTGCTTTTGTTACTTTTTTGGTTGTATTTGAAACGAAAAGCTACATCAAGAATCAAAAGGATAAGAGATAACACTTCATTATTTGTCCGGACATGCGTATACTCTAGAACTATTAAATGGCTCAAATACACAATGTCTTGAGTTGATGCGCCTTTCTTGTGATGCTTATATACTACTATGCAACCATTTTAAACAAAAGAATCGGTTGCAAAATAGTAGGAATGCAATTGTTGAGGAGAAGATGACAATTTTTTTAACAATTATAGGTCACAATGAACGCTATAGAATGAGTAAAAGAAGATTTCAACACTCAACAGAAACTATAAATAGATATTTCCGTCAAGTACTACGAGCAATGATGGAATTTGCTAGAGAAGTTGTAGGATCAATGCCCAATGAAGAAATCTCCAACATGTTAGAATGACAAAGAAATCTTAGAATAATTTTTCCGGTATGTTTTCGTTTATATAATTTGCAAAATCAAAACGTAGTTAAAAAGTTTCTTATAGTTTATACTTTTTAAATAAATGGGGCGATAAGTGCGTTAGATGGGACTCTCATACATGCAGTTGTACCTGTCGATCAACAAGCTCGTTATAGGGACAGAGGAAGAGGTGAATGTTATCAAAACGTTTTAGCGATTTGTGATTTTAATATGGTATTCACTTATGTTTGGGCTGGATGAGAGTGCATAACACATGATGCTAGGGTTTTAAAAGAAGTTGCATTGAACCCAACTTCTGGCTTTCCATTTCTTACACCAGGTACTTAGAATTTTTACTTAATATTGAATATAATTTATTTCTTATACATTTTACTAAACAATAATTTTTTTTACATGTTAAATGTAGAAAAATATTATCTTTGTGATGCTGCATATGCCAACACTCGTGGATTTTTGACTCCATATCGCAATACAAGATATTGGCTAGCTGATTTTCGATGTCGACGTGCCTTGACCAAAGAAGAAATATTCAATTATGCCCACGCACAACTCATAAATGTTATCGAACGTGCTTTTGGTRTATTGAAAGCAAGATTCCCAATTTTGAAGCAAATGACCCCTTATCCTTTTCGCATACAAAGAAACATTGTAATTGCTTGTTTCGCGATCCACAACTTTATAAGAAGATGGACCATGCAACAATTATTCATGGATTACGACAATAATCCCATGTTCATTAATGAAGCACAAGAACAAATTGATGGAGGTGAGGAAGAAGAGATAGATGCAACACCTCGGGGTCCCCAAGACAGTGAGTACATGACTAATTTGCGTAATGAGATTGCAAATCAATTGACGTTAAATGCTTCAAATTAGGTGTTGTACTAAAAATATTGGGTTGGAAGTTGTGTTTTATATGATGTTTTATTATGCCAAAACCTGAACAAACATTGTTATGCTTGTTTGGATTGATATAATATTATGTATTAGTTTAGACCATTAATTATTTTATATTCTTCATTTAGAAATTTTCTTTAAAACTGTTGTCAAACGTTAATTTTCATTAAGCACAAAACTAAACATTCAGAAATTTCCAAACAACCTTTTTCTATCTGACACTAAATCATACAAAATTTCTTAATCATTATCACCATTTAATCTTGCTGCAACCGAAATAAGTTGTTTCAAATAACAATCGATCACTCCTAAATAAAAAGTGTAAAAAAAGAGGTTGCGAAGCTCCATTGGAGATGCTCACCCACGGAGATAAAAAATGCTGAGGCGTTGCTAACGACCGATTATAGCGAAACTCCAATTGACATTGAGTAAGAACACCCATTGAAAATGGTAGGATTTGATGTAATCAATGACGAAAAGAAAACGATGAGATCATGGTATTTGAGTCATCCTTTACTTCAGGCGGCTGGCCGGCCGGCACGACGATCTTCACTAGGTGCTGGTGGTGGACGGCGGTATAATCCTCCACTTCTCAAATCTATGCTTCTATCTGTATGTATTCTATATACACACATCAAAATCCATCCAACTTTTCAATGCAACACAAAAACAGCAGGAATCTCGTCTTTGATTCTATCGGAAACAAACAAAACCCTAATTCGAAAACGATAAATCTGATGGAACTAACAACAATTCGTTCTCATATTTGTTAGATGTCCCCTCGGATCAACTTACATTAACATCTTCCCATTTTCCCCCAGGTATGGCTTTATCTCTATCTCTATCTGTCTCTCTCACACACACAAACACACACTGAGATTGAAAATTCGTGGTTGGATCATATATAATATGATGATGATGTTTTAGTGTGTGTGTGTGTGTGTGTGTTTCTGAGAACCTGATCATGAAAACTTACATGGATTTTTGAATTGTGTGAAGAAATCATAGCGATTGAATTACTTGGGGAAGAAACTATGGGGGAGATTGATACGGATCCAATCAAATCCGTTAGAGCATCTGTTTCCCATTTTGGGGAAAAATGCAACCAGATCAAAAGTCGATGTAGCAGCGATGATGTAAGTTTCTTCTATCTCATTGTTGATCAGAAATCATGATCTCACACTACGAATCCCACTTCATACCATGAGAGCATCTCTAACAGCTATGGTAGTTTTGAAATTTTGGAGATCTACGAAAAGTTTGCTCGAACAGTTATGCTAAATTCTCAACTAAAATAGAGGAATAGGAGTGAGAAAGCATTAATCTCCAAATCTGAAAACCACTTGGGTTATATCGCACGGGTTAAGGTTGAGAGGGATGTAGTGGAAATCTAATCCTCCATGGGTTTGAATCAAAGCCTATACTTTGGAGCCTTTGGGAGTCTCATAGATTGCGATTCTATCTTTTCCAACTTTCAACTACCAGTATTTTCCATCTTTAGAAATCAAAACGCCATTTTCTTAGTAACTTTGTTTGTGTGGGTCTCTCTCAGTTAATAATTCTATATAATTATATCATTATCATTCTTCAGACCATAGAGACTGTAGATGGATACCTGTCTTGTCTTGTGGATACTGTTGGTTTCATTGTTTATCTGTCACAGCTACAATCTCTCCTGACCAAAAGACAAGGATCTGTCGATGCTTTGATGAATGATAATAGTATATATTATATAGAATTGGTAAGTGGGAGAGACCCACAGACATAAAACAACTAAGATTGACAGTTTGATTTCTAAATGGTAGTTGAAAGCTGGAAAACATGGAATCACACTCTACGAGACTCCCAACGGGCACCAAAAGCTTAGTTGGAGCCCTTTGGGAGTTTTGTAGAGTGTGATTCCATGTTTTCCAGCTTTCAATTACCATTGTTTTCCATCTTTAGAAATCAAACCGCCAATCTTAGTTGTTTTATGTCTCTGGGTCTCCCCTACTTACTAATTCTATATAATATATCATTCATTAAGAATATAGATGGATACTTGTCTTATGGGTACTGTTGATTTCGTTTTTCATTTGTCACAACTACAATCTCTGATACTACTCGAAAGCTATAGTAAATGAGAGAGACCTACAGACAAAAAGCAACTAAGAATGGGACAAAAAGCAACTAAGATTGGCGGTATGATTTCTGAAGATGGAAAATAACGAGAGTTGAAAGCTGGAAAAGAAGAATCACACTCTACGAGACTCCCAATGGGCTCCAAAACATGGACCTTGTTTTACTTCCATGGGTTTGAATCAAGGCCTATGCTTTGGAGCCCGTTGGGAATGTGGTTCTATCTTTTCCGGTTTTCAACTACCATCATTTACCATTTTCAGAAATCAAACTGTCAATCTTAGTTGCTTTGTGTTTGCGAATCTCTTCCACTTACTAATTCTATATAATATGCATCATTATCATTCATCAAGAATATAGATGGATACCTATCTTGTGGGTACTGTTGATTTTGTTGTTCATTTGTCACAACTACAATCTCTAATGCTGCTCAAAAGAATATCCGTCTATGTTATGATGAATGATAATATTATATTATAAGAAATAGTAAATAGGAGAGAGCAACAGACACAAAGCAACTAAGATTGACGGTTTGATTTCTTAAAGATGGAAAATAACGACAGTTGAAAGCTGGAAAAGTAGAATCACACTCTACAAGACTCCCAACGGTCTCCAAAGCATGTGCCTTGTTTTACTCCGACGGAACAAATTTTTTGGACCTCTGATTTGATTCTTCATAGTTCAGTAGAAGTTTTTTTTTTTTTAATTAACATACGTGTTGATTTTCACACATTCACGAGCATAATGGTTTGTTTGAAATGAAAACGGGCAATCGATCACTCGTTAACAGGAAGCAGAGAAGGAGAAAGATTTTGAAGCTGTTCTACAAGACTTGGCTAACTGCAAGGTTCAACTCGAAGCCATGGATGCTGCCCACAAGCAAACCCTTCTTAAGCAAGATCACCATGAGGAAGCTGTTGCCGGGATCTCAACGCTCTTGAAGAGCTCGGAATTCGAGAAAGATGTATTCATCAATGAATGCAAGGAAGCAAGAATTCGCGTTTCGGAACTCGAATTCAAGATCCAAGAAATGGCTGAAGAGTTGACCGAGTTAAGTTCAACACGAGCTCAACTTCTCAGAGTCGAAAAACAACTTGTGGCTGCCACTGATGCTAAATTTGAGGCCATGAAACAAGCGGAGATGATCGAAACGGTTTTGAGCATGGAGAAAGCCAAAATGGAAGAGATGGTTCATCATGAAAATATGCTCAACGAAACCATTCTCGATTTACGACTTTCTTCCATGGAATCCGAGAGTTTGAAGGAAGAAGCCGAAAAAGAAATGAAGTATGCCCAGGAACAGCTCATATCGAAATCGATGGCCATCGATTCACTGCAATCTGAGCTTCAAAGAGCTAACGAGTTGCATAGTTTGGCTGAGGAGGCTGCTGCTGATTCAAGAAGTGATCTGAACAGGATGAAGGAGGATTATAAACATCAAGAAAGGAGGAATTCAGATCAAGTACAGTACATCGAGTTATTAGAGAGCGAGTTGACTCAGTTGAAGTCGGAACTCAGGGACAAGAATCAAGAGTTGCAGATGGCCATCGGTGAGTTAGAAAAGACGAAAAGTGAAATGGAAGAGATGGGCGACAAAGATAACGAAACACAAGTCGAAATAGCGTTGTTGAAAGCCGAGCTTCATAAAGGGCGATCAAAAACCGCAGCTGCTGAGGTCTCTGAGTTACGAGCCAAAGGCGAAAAGTCCGCTGCTTATTTTGCTCTTCAACAGATGGCGATCGAAACCCAAGAACTGAAAGAAGAAAACCAAAGGTTACAATCCGGACACGAAGAGATCGAGTTTCAAGATTCGAAATCCGACCCCGAGATCACGATTTCATTGGCGGAATACGAAATCTTGGTGAAGAAAAACGAGGAAGCTAATGATGAACAAAATCTGACGCTGAAAATGGAGTGTTTGAAGAAAGATTTGGAGAGTGCAATGGTGAGAGTGAGTGAGCTCAGGACACAATCAGAACAGGCGGCAACGAGAGCGGAAGTGGCGGAGCAGGCCAAATCCGCCCTCGAGGAGCAAATAAAGCAATGGAAGGAACAGAAGCAGCGGCGGAGGGCGGCTCTGGCGGCCCTCCGGACGGAATCGATGTCGAAATCGAGTCATGGTTTTGAGTTTGATGATAATTCTAAAACATACATGCCATTAGGCAAGTTTCTCAAAATGAACTTCTGAATCATGCTATTCATTCTGTATCTAAATAAATGTACAACAAAAATTTACCCATTTAAGTTTTACTTTTTTACAAGACTTCACTTTTGAGTTGGTTTAACGGACCATTTTGTACATATCTATCCTATGGTAGTATCATGGTATCGATTTATTTAATTATTTATTACTTTTTGTATTTTTTATTATATTAAATTATAAATATATTGTAATTTTAATTATTTTGTTTGAACTAGAAGGGTACTCGTACAATGCAACGAGATACATCTCAATTTTAATGTTCTATTTTATTCTTTGTCTTTGTCTCTGTCGATGTTATAATACAATTTAATGTGTTTTTAAAAAAACAATAATGATTTTATTTTTGAATAAAATATAATTTTGAATATATCATAAAAATTTGAAAAAAAAAATATCAATGTTAATATCAAATCAAATATTTAAAAGTTTTTATTTTTTATGTAATTTTTTTAATTTATTTTTTTATTATAATTTAATTTAAGTTTAATAATGAAATAATTTATTTTTGATTTAATAATATAACATTTTATAAAGATAATAATTAAATATTCTGTTAGAACTCAATGATTATCTTAATTATATTTTAATTTTTTATATTTAAAATGAGATGTTTATCTTGTATTTGATTATGTTTATCTGCGATTAGTTATATGAATTCAGATATAGAGCTTTAATAAATTGTACTTACGCACAGTCTACTTTTAAATTTTAAGTTTTAAATAACATGCATTAATAAACAGTATTTTATGCATAAAAAATGGTTTTTAAGAGTTTTTGTTAAATGTTTTATAATATAGTATAGATATTTAAATGTTTTGCAAGTTTTATTCTTGTAATTAGTGACAATTAAACAACACACATAAATTAGAAAGTCAAAATGTCACTTAAAATTTAAACAAAAATAACAAGTGTTTATATATGTAACTTGAAATTGATATAAAATGCATACCAGCTGAAATAAAATGGTTCTAAATACAGTTAGTTGATGTATAATATAAGATTTTATGTATTAATTATAATTAATTGGTATGTGATATCAGGAAATTTTTTTTGTTACAATACCAATCTATATATATATATTAAAGAAGAAACCAAACATAATGAGGTGACACATTCTAATGCTTAGAACTTCTCCTATCTTTTTTCTCAATTTTTTTATTTTTTTAAATGTTGAATACATTAAAGACTTTTCTACCCTTGTATGAAGAATATATGGTTCATAATCAATTGTTTTTTTTTTTGTAATTTTGTATACTCAAGTTTAACCTCCAACTCTTGATTTGCTCTTTCATTTACTTTCTTTTATTTCTTATAGAAATTTGTTTTTCTAAGTTTCAATAATAAACAAAATGAAATACTACAAATTCTTTTAGTGAGGGATGAATAAGGTGAGAGTTGAAGAAAAATTCAAAGATTTAAAAGGTATGTAAAAATTATATTCATTAAAAAATATGATTTGTTATTACATATTTCTTTTTCAATATTGTTGGATTTGTTGTTATCATATAATATGTTTGTGTTTACGATTAGATCATATAAATTCGAATAAAATTTTGACATTTTGTAATCACATGATATGATAAATCTTTTTCAAATTTAAGCTCCATCAACAATAACTATTTATACATGATTGATAATCACGTTAAATTTTGATTACTTCAAGATTTTTTCAATTTGCAGAAATCGTTTGGTGAGTAATGAAGAAATAAGAGTTGAATAAAATTTAAAAGATTTTAAAAAGATATGTAAAAATTATATTATTTAGAAAATGTGAAACTTATCTTTCTTTTTTCTTAGATTTTTAATTCTTTAAAATATTTGATATATAAAAGACGATGGAATTTTTGATTCTTTAAAATTATATAAATGTTCTAAACCTTTCGATTTAGAACATTTTATATAATAATTTGTTACATTTTATATAATAATTTGTGTGGGTTATTTGTTGTTGATGGATGTTTTTTATTCCATGTTATTATATTTTGTTAATTATTATTACATTTGTTTTTCTATGCATTATATATTATTATTTTTTTGTTATGTAGAATGTTTTTATTGTCCATACCGAATGTTATTCCTCTATAAACTTTTTCTGGTAACAAATATTACATCTTAATTTATGATTTGTGTGGGTTATATGTTGTTGACGAATGTTTTGTTCAAAAATTTCTTCTCTATTATATTTTATTGAATATGATTCTTCATCGTTCTTATTTTTGGAATTTATTTATGTTGTGTATGCGTTCTTTTTATGTGTCTTTTTATTTTGCGTAATTTTGTTTTATTAATATTTTGTATTTATTCAAGTTTTTTTTTGACAACAATTAAATTATGATTAACTGTGATCTATGTGGAGTTTTGTTATTATAAATTTTCTTCTCCATCTTTTATATTTATAGAGTTTCTCAATTTGTATTTTTTATGTCATTCTATGTATTGTGGTTATTAATAAACCAGTATATATCATGTGACTGTTTGTTATTTAAAATGACACTTAAATGATGCTTATGTATTTATTTATTTGAAAAGAAATAAAATGTGATATAGATGTGGTTTTTGTATGTGTATTTGTTTGCTCTTATTAAATTATTTATATTATATGATATGTGTTCTTTGTTTTATTATGTTTAAAATTACTTAAATTTGCTTAAAGTTATATTTATTTATTTATACTAGAAGCGTACTCGCGCAATGCAGTGAGATACATCATGATTTTAATATTTCATTTTATTATTTATCTCAGTCGATGTTATAATATGA